GATTGTGCTGCAAATTAGGCCGATTTATAGGCAGGTGCACCTGCGGGCAGCTAAGCGTTGTTGTGGAACTCTCTCTGAGGCTGCGTGAGACGGAGCAGTTCACACTCTGCAGCCGCGGCTTGTTCACACACAGTTTCAGCTAATGGCAGGGCAAAACAGACTGTTTCGAAAGCGTAATTACGTTTTACTCTACTACAATTGATGCCGACCATGCTTATCATATTCATAAGTGCAACAAGTCATTTGCATGTGAAAGCAGAAACACGTGCAATTCAGACGAAACTTCTGGGCTGGCTAAATCGTGCACATTACCTTTCTTCATGAAATGTGTCTGTGGGTCCGACAATAGCCTCCACGATGTCATCGCTCGTGGTCAGTGCACTCTTAAGCAGTTATGAGCAGCAGACTGTGTAATATGTGTGAACTCTTTTATTTCTGACTCATAGCAGTGTCCAGTGTTTCCCATACATTGAGTTATTTGTGGCGGCTCGTCACAATATCAGAACTGACCGCCACAAATAGATTTTCCAAAAGGCTTATACTTCGTTGAATAAACTGAGCACTGCACGTTTCAAAATTAAAATGCAGCGCTGGTGTTTTTATATGCATGTATCTTTGAAAAGAACCGACCGTCTTCAGAAAAGCTTCGATGTCATTTTCATTTCGTCTTTCCTGTAATACCTGATAAAGTAGCGTTTGTGAGCGCAGTGCTGATTTGATTACAGCGGTTACCGGGGAAACCACTATATATGGCGTTATTTTAATGACAAATGTCAAGAGCGCATTATTGTAGCACGAAAGAACATTAATATAATGCGCGAGTCTTTGTCTTTACACAAACTGCTTAGTGCTGCTCAGAGATGGCATAAATGCATTTACGCAGCAATTACAACCGTTTACTTTAATACAATAATTAATATCTATAGCGCATGAGCACAGAGAGATTTGTGAGTGCACAGGACACAGTTTGAGTGAGAGGAGAGACACGTTTTAAGTGCACGCACTCTCTCCGGGCGAGAGCAGCGTGTATCTGAGCGCGCGCGTCCGGTTTTGTGCGAGAGCAAAGGAAATCCGCGCGTGAGCGGAGAGATTCGCACTCGCACATTATATTAATGTGCTTTCGCGCTACAATTATGCGCTCTCGACATTTGTCATTAAAATAACGCCATACTATATATCTCCTCTATATCTTGTACCCTGCAATAAACATGTATTCAAACTCTCTTTTATGAGATGAAGGGGAAAAAAAAGAAAAGAAAATGAGCCAAATATATCGGCCAAAAAAATCGGCATCATATATCAGCTGCCCTGATTTCTAAATATCGGCATCGGCCAGAGAAAAACCCATGTCGGTCAACCTCTAGCCTGTATATGCTTTTTTTGACTCTCAAAATGCCGGTAGCCATTGATTTGCATTTTATGAATCACCAAGCAGCACAGGTTCAACTAAAAATCTTCTTTACTGTTCTACTGAAGAAACAAACTCACCTACATCTTGAATGGCCCGAGAGCGAGTAAATTCACAACAATTTTTTTATTTTTTTTTATTTTGGGTGAACTATCACTTTAAACATCAATGGTTGAAAAAACATGGGGGTGGGGTTTTGGTTCTACACATCAGATGATGATTGGATGATGAGATGTGGGCGTGGCACTCAAAATATATACAGATGAGTGTGAGCTTGCAGGGGCGGAGTTTAAGCACATGGCAACACCCTAGCAACCCCCCACCACATCCTAACATTGTGGCAATATCTTCTGCTCAAGCAAACACTCTCTAATATACTAATGAGACACTTATCTGACTTCTTTTAAAAGATAGTGTATTTACAGTCACGGATTACTGGTGATAATCACTCATAAATCAATCCTTGTGGGGTTTAAACCTACAAACTATCAGTTGCCAGCTCAGCTCAATTTCCTACTTTTATTGTAACATGACAAGGTTATGAGCTACTAAAAGGGGTAAATGCCCAAAAAACAATAACATAGTAATTTTTGACACTTGAAAATAATCAAGCAGTAACAGACATGATTATGAGCTACTACTACTATGGTACATGTGCAAAAAAAATGGTATAATATATACATGGTATAGCATGACAGTACCATGGAGATATTTAATATGTCTTTGAAACTGAAAATAAGCAATAACAGACATGATAGAGAGCCAGTACCATGGTAACCAACATGGTAACCCCATGGTACACGCATTAATAGACATGATTATGAGCTAATACCGTGGAACATGTCCAAAAAACACAGTATTACCACGTTACCGTGACAGTACCATGGTGATATAACACTTTTTTTGAGTGTGAATATAAGCAATACCACACATTATAAGAGAGCTAGTACCATGGTAAATGGCCAAAAACATGGTATTACCATTCTAAAGCCATTAGAGCAGTGAAATCAAGCAGTATCAGACATGATTCAGATTGACATGATGAAAACATCACTCATGTGCACAATTGCTGTGATCAAGTTGTGATGCTGCGCAGTGTGTGTGTGTGTGTGTGTGTGTGTGTGTGTGTGTGTGTGTGTGTGGTGACACACACACGACACCGAGCTCACGGATCCACAGCAGCAGATATGATGATGTTCATAAGCACAACAGAGTTTGCACCGGTGATTTACTCACATCTCAGTGACTGATGCTGAACCTGATCACAGGTGCCTCGCGCTCTTCATCATCCTCATCCTCATCATCATCAAAGCCTGCCGCCGCTTATTCCGCTCGAACCGCGCCTCATCCGAACGGGACTGTGCTCAATGAAACGCTCAAACACTAAAGCACACCTCCTCAAGTGTACTAATGAGTGTGTGTGAGGCTCCTGCGTGCTCTCGAGTGGATCTGTAGCAGCCCCGCGCCGGCGAGCTCCGATCCGGGTCCTGGCGCCGAGTGAACGCCAACAACAGGTTTCAGCGCGATCATTGGATATTCGGTCATGAATATTAATCAGATGATGAACGTTCTTTACTGGAGCTTCCAATCAAGTCGTGTAATTAATATTCACATAATAAAAAGGCACTGTTTTGGCTACTGGTTTTTTTTCTTCGTATTTTTACTTTGAGTTCAAATTATATATTATTTCTTTAATTTTACAATATTTTAAAACAAGTATTGACTTTTTTATATAATATCATAGCTTGTGAGCAAAAAACACCTTTTAGTCATATATAGGAAAAAAAGATGACTAAAAGGTGAATTTTTGCTCTTCAGATTAAAAAAATAGTGCTGTCAAACGATTAATCGCGATTAATCGCATCCAAAATATAGGTATATGTGTATGTACTGTGTATATTTATTATGTATATATAAATACACACACATGCATGTATATATTTAAGAAAAATATGTTACGTTTATATATTAAATACATTTTTATATAATATTCATTTTATGAATATAAATATATGCATGTAAGTACATGTAAATATTTTCAAAATATATGCTGTATGTGTGTGTCTTTATATATACATAATAAATATATACAGTACACACACATATATTATGTAAACCAAAAGTTTTATTTTGGATGCGATTAATCGTTTGACAGCACTAAAAATGTATCTGCGTTGTGAATTTGTTTTACATTTTTTCTGTTATAATTATTTTTACAGTGTAAATTCAATATATAATATATACAAAATATAATAAATAATATATAAATACATTTTGAGAAGCAAAAAAATGCTACTTTTAGTCATATACACATATACTCAAAGAAAAAAAAGGTAAAACGTGATAATATTTCAAAAATTATAATAATGTTTTGACGACTGTTTTCTTTTCTTCGTATTTTTACTTTGAGTTGAAATTCTATATTATTTCTATAATTGTATAATATTTTAAAATGCATTGACTTTTAAATATAATTATCACTTGTGAACAAAAAAAATCACCTTTTAGTCATATATATAGGAAAAAGATAAATAAAAATATATCTGCATTGTGAATTTTATTTAATAATTATTTTACAGTGTAAATTCAATATATAAAATATAAAAATATATAAAATAATATTTAAAATTTTTGAGAAGCAGAAAAATCCTAGTTTTAGTCATATATACATATATACACAAAGAAAATATTTTTTTATAATTGTTTTTTACAATGTAAATGTATTTCTAAAATGTAAATAATAAAAACATATT